GCCATTTGCACTACAGCCAGGCTGCTGTCACGGCCCAAGGACTTCAAGGCGGCCCATTTCCCATCTGGGCCCACTTACCTTCCCAAAACCATACAACGCATTTTCCGGGCCGCGGCCCAAATCGAAAAGGCCGGGCCTTTACCTCGCGTCCGTCGGAGAAAACAGGAGGGGCGGCGTTGGGGAGAGGGGCGCTTTTCCGGCGAGGTGCGCGGCGGAGGGGCTGTTTGTTGGAGGGCGGGGGAGCGGGTCTGCGGCCGCGGCGGCGGCGGAGAGGTACGAGGTGGTGGCGCTGGTGGCGGCGGTGATGTGCCTGTGTAATGCGGATAGGGTGTTGATGTCGGTGGCCGTGGTTCCTCTGGCGGCCAAGTATGGCTGGTCGAGTTCTTTCTTGGGCATTGTTCAGGTAAATGGAAGAACGAAATAAATGAAAGAAAAAGAAAAAAAAAATGGTGGAAATTTTTTGGATTGATTTTGTTGTATATTTCCAAATTCTTTAGGAAAAAATAGACTTAATTTATAAGTTCAACGAGCTACTCCTTCTTCGACTAATTGATTTAGAATTGAACTCACTTGAGCTTCATCAGGACTTTCCGTGTTTATTGTGCGCTTCATCTGCATGGGACCACATCCGTTTTTCCCCCATTTCTTACATTGTGTTTTTTTTTTTTTTTTAATGTTAAACTTAACTTGAATAATTTTATTGAGTATAATGCAATTTAGTCCTGTGTATTTTACTACCTTAACTTTTTCGTTCTTCTCAAATTGTGTTTTTTATTTGCGTCTTGTATATTTACAAAAAGATCATTTCCATACATAAGAAATGGAATTAAAACTTCTTTTGCATATCGTATGGACATTTTGTAACTTTTTTTATAAACATACAAGACGAGAATTAAAAACGCAATTCGAAGTGGACGAAAAAGTTAGAGTACTGAATCATACATGACTAAAATTGCATTTTACTCTAAATTTTATTATTGATTTGAAGCATAGTTTTTAAACCCGGCCCGGTGATTGACCAGGGAAGGTCTCCGGGTCACCGGGTCACCGGTTCAACCGCTGGGTCACCGGGTCAATTGCTGAACCGGATAATTAATTTTAAAATTTTTAAAATTATATATATAGTATTTTG